GGGGGTGGGGGGTAGGGTTAGGCATTTATGCCACTGCACTCCTGTTTTAGTTATAACATACATCTGTTGATTCATTCCTTTTTTGATTCATGCCTAGGTAACAATGGCCAAATCCAGTTATGGCAGTTTTTGTTGGAGTTATTAACAGACAAAAGCAGTCGTCACCTAATAATGTGGGTGGGAGAGAATGGTGAATTTAAACTTAATGATCCAGAACAAGTGGCTCAGCAATGGGGAAGAAGAAAAAACAAACCTGCTATGAATTACGAGAAGCTGAGCAGAGCACTGAGATATTACTATGATGGTGACATGATACACAAAGTGCATGGAAAGAGGTTTGTTGAGAAATTAAGCAGTGCAGAAACTCAAAATTGAAGAAAAATCCCATGATATTTAATAACAAGATGCTAAAAACAAGGAGCACCATGGAAAAGTACTGATGAAAAGTTATAGCCACTTTATACAGAGTAATAATCATTAGTATGACAAACTACGGATTATTTCATCCCTAAAGTCACCAACACCTTGTACAGCGTAATAAAGAGTACCATATGAAAGTTCTGCTCAGCAGCTTTCATTTGAATAGTTACATTTCAGTACATTGTATTTCATTCCCAAAGTCAACCACCTTGTACAACATAATAAATAGCACCAAAGGAATGTACTGCTCAGCAGCTTTCATTTCAGTGGTCTCACGATAGGATTTCTTCCACAGACTCAAAAGCTACAACCTCGTTGTACAACATATGTTACAATAAACATTATTAAAAGCTGAATCATTGGATAATGCAATTCTAGAGCTCTGATTGGTTTAGCCATCATGGTATATGAGCCACTATACCATGCTCTCCACATATGGTAACTGTACGCATCTGCTCGAATTAAATACAAGCTGAAAATTGATTGTTTTTACAAATAACGTTGGGAAGAATTCTCGATATTTTGTGGACGTTTTTAATAAAACAATTTATTATTCCACTCGCGCTTGTTGGATATGAGATGATTATAGCCAACTCATATCCAACGCGCAGTTATGGAACAATTATTGTTAAGAACTATAGGGAAGTGCTGCTACGGTCATACACAGGTACGAAACAGACAGCTTCACTGATAATGCTGTTGGTGTATCTAATCATATCCTCATCTGATAGAAAGCTTGTTTGTTTTAGGTTTGTGTACAAGTTTGTGTGTGACCTGAAAAACTTGTTGGGATACAGTGCAGGCGAACTTAGTAGACTTGTGTTGGAAGCAGAGGAAACAGCCAATGAACTGGAGCCTGGGACCAATGGTGGACATTAGCTTGTTTATTGTTTGTGTAAAGATGTTAACTGTAAATAGTAATATTGTAACACGTCTTATACTGTGTTTATTTTCCATCCTTGGAAATTATGTATTGTAAGCCACAACGACAATCTTGTTGTATTTCCCTTCGGCCACAGTCAAATGTCTCCTGTCTGTGTAAGTGTCTGTTGTAGGTAGGAGGCCATTGTAAAAACAAGGGTTGCTGGTAATACTTAAAAGCCCTGACATTCACATACAAAATAATTCTCAAGACCGACCTCCGTACAATTCCCTAAAGAATTAGTCGGGAGAATTTGTTTAACAGTCAAAGCAGAATTATTTCTTTAGGTGATCATTATATTAATTCTCAGAACCTTTTGTTTTGACTATGCAGTGATATTGTTAGGAGAAAACTGATGTTAATAACTCTTGCGGCTTAAAGGGGTAATGTATTTTCTTGGACAAAAAAGTGCAGCAGTTGTGGACAGGTCTTCTTTGTAGAGAAGTGACCATAGTTCACGTAGCAATAGACATCTTTTCCTTAATTTTGTCTTTTTGTCAAACTATCCTTACACTTTCTCCTAAAATAAAATGGGGTAGAAGAGCAAATTTAGTGAGCAAATTTTTAGTCATAATACTGTCATGCAATGCCTGTCATGTCTTGTATGACAATTTGTGATGTCCAGCCAGGATGCCTATACTGAAAACCTTGGGTAACACCACATTTTGTGTCATGATTTGCCGTTTCTAATCCTAGTTAGACACCTCACTTAATGTCTCATGATGCATTTTAAGGGTTTCTGCAAACAATCATGCATCTCAGACCTTTCTTTAGGACTTAGCAAATGCCCTTTTTTTTAATATTTACGTGAGCTTAGCATCTAGGCAAAGTTTCAGACCTAAGAGTGAATTTTTGTGGTATTTAAATAGTCACAGTGGCAGAAAAAAATGTTTTATAAAATGTACTGCATTTCAGTATTCTTGAAAGAATTAAAGCAAACACGAATTAATTTTTTTTAGCTGGTTAGAGCTCTACTCATTATGGTCACTTATGTGTTACTGTGTAAACCAAATAATGCCCAGCAATCTAGCGTGAATTGTGTGCTGTAATATCGATAAGTTATTCTTAAATTCTATTATTTTAAATGTACATAAAAAGTTGTCTAATAATAGAATAAAAATTATACCTATACTACAAATAACTAGAAATTTTATTCTTTCTCCCTCTACCATCCCACCCATTTTTTCCTCTTTTTTCACCCAACATGATGCTTGCAAGCTCATTCCTTAATATCAAACTGGTTTAATATCCAGAATTTTGAGGATAACGCTATCAAAGAATGGTTCTTTATTCACATTTTTTTTAAATATTGACTACAATGTTTTGTACATCTGTACATAGAAACTAATCTTGTTTTTATACTGCACATCCAGTAATTTTCGTTGTACATCGCCATTAAAACTTATCAGATCATATTAAGTTTAATATTTTTGAAGGTCTACATCATTCATACAACGTCTGTTTTCTCCAATATGAACTTCCATCACAACACTGGAATATACCTTCAAAACTAAGCGAAATAAATATAAATTCTTCCTTTTTAAAATAGTTGGTTTCTACTGTATTTGTTCCCATTTTTTCAAATTCATTTTCGAAACTTTTCCGCCACACGTTGAATTTTTCCCCGATATATCGCTTGTATTTTCTTCAGCGACAGAACTGGATGCCGGCCTTGGAGGGGTAGCGTCCAAAGCACGCTCTCCCCAATCCCCCCTCGATGTTTTGACACTTTTTCTGGGCGGCACGCACTTGTCACCCCACCAGTAAATTCCTCTGAGTGTTTCTTCATGACACGGCCAACAGAAGGGAAACCTGGAAGAGAGAAACGTAAGTTGGTGCACATGGTTTTTAACAATGGCCATATCTTACTCACAGCAGTGTACTAATATGCTTGGCTGCCACATAATGCAGTAGGGCTAATTCTGACATATGTGACGGCAACGGCAGCCAAAATGTCACTTGGAAGACGAATTCGCGCTGTTTCAAACTTTACTACTCTTGTTCGATTTCATAAATTTGTTTAATGTTGGGGGAAACTTTTCTGTAGTTAATTCTAAGTTGAGAAAAAGGAAAAGAAAATTGTTGTCTTGTGTTAACGTCTTCCATAAAACGTAAAACTAGGATGTTTCGCGTCGTGGTCGTGCAACAATAGCAAAGAAATGTACAAAAACGAGTGATGCACGTGCAAAGTTGTTGTTTTGATAATCTAAACCTATTGCTTTTTTGTCGTTCTCGCTACCGTCGCCATTGTCGTTGCTTAAAAGCTCCATATTGGTTGAATCTGGGACGAAAAAAGCGTCACTTTCCCCTCCCAGAAAACTTCACAGTGTAACTATCACAAACAGCTATAAAACATACTTGCTGAATAGA